TTTTGACTTGTTCTGTATCCAAAGGTACTAACCTACTTAGGATTTATAGAATGTAAATAAATTCAATTCAATTCAATTCAGAAGGTTCAACATGAGATATGCCAACTTAACACTGAATATGACTGCCCATCTGGTGACAGTACAGCATCTGAACAGTTTCTTGAAATTCTGTGTAAAGCCGCCAGCCGATCAGCTACTCAAGGATCTCCCAACATAGTACAGAACCCAAAGGTTCATTACCATGTTCACGAGAGTCATCCACTAGTCCCTATCCTGAGCCAGATCAATCCAGTCTATACCACCGCATCCTATCCCTACAAGATCCAATTTTAAACTATCCTCCCACGAAAAGCTAAACAGTTCCGTCTAGTGTGACTGGTGAAGATTTTTCTTAGTACCGAACACTTGGAAAAGATAATAACAAATTACATATAAAAGGGAAGAAAACACATAAGCCTATCCTTCCTTGATAAACAAGGAAAGTAGGGGTAGAAGAAAAAAATACAATTGGCACAAACAGTTGATTAATATTTTGTTCAAAATAAAAAAAATCATATCCTCCCACCTAGGTCTAGGTCTTCCTAGTGGGCTCTTTCCTTCTGGCTTCCTACCAAAATCTTACAAGCATAGAGGCATTCATTCATCTTTGCCCCATGCATGCTACAGGACATATCCAACTCATCCTCTTTGACTTCATCATTCCATTTATACTTGGCAAAATTTACTTACTCATGGAGCTGAGACCTTCTCGAGGAGCCGCCAATTCTGCAGCTACTCAAGAATTTCCCAGCATTTTATAGCACCTGAAGGTTCATTACCGTGTTCACAAGAGCCCTCTACTGGTCCCTACCCTGAGCCAGATCTATCCAATCCGTACCACCCCATCCTATCTCTCCAAGATCCATTCTAATATTGTCCACCCACCTACGACTTGGTCTTCCCTGTGGACTCTTTCCTTCTGGATTTCCCACCAATATCCTATACGATTCCTCGTCTCCCCCATTAGTGCAACCTGACCTGCCCACCTCACCCTCCTTGACTTGATCATTCTAATTATACTTGGAGAAGAGTACAAGTTATGAAGCTCCTCAATATGCAGTTTTCTCCAACCTCCTCTCATTTAATCTCTCTTCGGTCCAAATATTCTCCTCGACACCCCGTTCCCAAACATCCTCAGTCTATGTTCCTCCCTTAATGTCAGAGACCAAGTTTCACACCCATACAGAACCACAGGCAAAATTATAGTTTTGTATATTCTAATTTTTATGTTTTTGGACAACAGACGAGAAGACAAAGGGTTCTGGACTGAATGGTAGCAAGCATTACCTGAGTTCAATCGCCTCTTAATTCCCTTCTGAATCAGGTTTTGATCTGTTATCATTGTTCCCAAATATCTGAACTGTGCCACATTTTCAAAACATCTGTTTCCTATCTTTATGTCATGATTTTGCCCTGCATTTTGGTGATGAGACAGTAACATGTACTTATGTTTTCTCTGTGTTTACTTCTGGACCAACCTCTTTACTTGCGTCAATTAAAGTTTGTGTGTCTTTTTTTATGGTATCTACATTATCACCCAGTAGATTCACATCATGGGAGTAGACGGACAGCTGATTTGTCCCATTTAATTTCAGTCCCATCTGGTTTCCCTGGACCTTCCTAACTGCATATTCTAAGACAAAGCATCTTCTTCTTTTAGACCATTCTGGATAGGAAATTTATCAGACAAATGTTTACCTACACGGACACAAGTCAAAAATAAGGAGTAATTATTTTTCCCCTTCTCAATACTGATGATTTATGGATATATGTAGTTCATGGAAATCAGCAGAAAAAGGAAGTTTACCATTCTACAATTCTTACTGAAGCAACAATACAATAACTTCTCCATGTGGCCAACATCTTTCCTGAGGCAAGTTCTTGGTCTCTTTGTAAGAGATCCATTTGCTAAATGAATCACAGCACCATCATCTCTTATGTGCCCTGCGGCACTGACGTGGTGGCCTGTTGATTATTCTCAGGTGTGATTCTAACCTTACTGTCTATACATACCTTATTACTATGAACGTAGCACAAGGCCGTGTGGTAACAGGAGCATCATATTCTTTATTTCTCCCACGGTAATCATCACATTACCGTTCGATAACAGGCCAGCTAAATCATGCTCACAGAACTCTAAGACCAGGTAGAAGCTGGTTTCATACATGTACTGAGTACCTGGAAAAGATAATAACAAATTACTTATACAGTGCAAGAGGACACACAAGCCTATCCTTCATCATTACACAAGGAAAGGAGAGCTGTATGAAAAGAATACAATGGCACAATATGTTGACAGATTCATATTTTGTTCAAAATAAGAAAAAACAGAACAAACTGTACACATTACTTTCTCCAGTTTTAGTTTAAAGAATAAAGTATACACAAACCTCTGGATCTGCATACTTCTATCAGGTTGACCACATTGTCATGCTTCACATGATGCAAAATGTCAATTTCCCGCAAGGTCCTGATGGGGATCTGCAACATATATATACATATATATCATTAACAATAACAATAACAACATATATATATATAAATTTCTGTAATAATTCCTGCCAAACACAACAATTCACCAAATAACTCACTCACACTCTACTGTGTACAACTGAGATTTTACAAAATAAAATGGAAAAATTTGATGTACTTCTGTCACTTTTCAAATCACCATCATACACACCGATTATATACTGTATTCCAAAACCCAAAACAAACATCTACACCTTACTAAGAGTCTTAAAATATTAAAACAAAGTATTAAAAAACCTGACTTATTATTACTACTGTCACTACAGCCCTTTGTGGGTCTCAGCCTGCTCTACAAACAAAACTTGGTTTTCCAGTTAAGTACACCCAAGTTCCTCAAATCCTTCTCCACACCATCCATCCATCTCATTCCTCATTCCTGATCTACTTTTCTGGCTTCTTCCTTCCGGTTTTACAAGCACTGTTGTTTTTATAATTTCTCTCTCCTCAGTAATATCCGCTCTGTAGTCAGAGAGGACACCTGTAAGCAACCTAATGGAACCTGGTCTAAATGGCGACAGTACATTCCAAGTAAAAAGCCATGTATCCTTAGATCTTTCCACATTGCAGTGTCATCTTAGAGTGGTCTGGCCAGCTGTTTCTTGAGCTTTCTTGACAAGTGATTTTTACAGTGCAGGGTTGTTAACCCTGCACCCAATCCCCAGAAATCCTAAAGGACACATGTTTTCTGTTGAGTTGATCTCCCCAATTTTGGGGCTTCAGGAACTTGCTCTTTCACCCTTGCATGACTTAGCGTCACACAGGAGTCATGACAACATGCATGCACTGCACTGAGTACAAATTAATGGCATTTCTCAAGTTTTAATACAGTCATCTGCCAGCAGAATGAGTGCCCTTGAGGTCATATACTTCACCCTTCATTTCTAACAAAAATGTTTCACTGTAAACTTGTACTTACTTTTTCGTATCCAGACCGCATTAAAACTTTCTTCATAGCCACAAATTTATTGCCTGCCTTTGTACACTTCACTGAAGAGAGAAATTATATAGTTAGTAACTTACTGTAAAGATGGCGTATGTAAACTGTTACATTTATTCATAATTTTCCCACCAGTAATGCTGAAAAACAAGAATTACCGCTTCTTCTTTACGTGGACAACAGCAACAACTGAGCCATTAGATCTAGGCATGTAAGTTATGCTTCAGTATGATATTGTGACATGTTGACCACTACCTCCCCAGCTGCACGTAGCGGTAGCGTAACGCTCGCGTAATAGGCGAGTAATCACCCCGCATCCTGGCAGCTATGCGCGGTGACGTCAAGAGCGGAGCCGAAGATAGCCGAGCCCCCGCAACCTGGTAACTATGCAAGGCGAGTCAACAGCGGTGACGTAACAGGATGACGTGGCACTCATTACGCAACAAGCAAGCACTGCAGCTATATAAGTGAGCTGCACAGTGGCTGCGAGTCAGTTATAAAGTAACAGTCGCCGAGTTGAAACATAGCCGCCTGCGAGTGTGCGATACTTAAGAAGTCAGCGAGCGGAAGACTTTTCGTGTGCTTTCCAGACATAGTGAGTGCTGTAGTACAGTTATACTCGGAGTGTGTAATTCAGGGAGACTTGTATAGCTCCCGCATTATTAGTACGTGAAGACTCTCAAAGAGAGTGTTAAGAGATTTTGTTCTAGGGTTTGTAAAGTGTGGAAACCCGTAATATTGTGATAATTAATTGTAGCCGTTATTTGAAGATTGTTAAATAAACCAATTAACCATCTCTACGGCGTCTTCAGTAACGAAACACGTTAAAATATCAATATACATACCTAAGAACGCCATGAAAATATTTATGCTGAAACAAAGCCAACATTTTGCTCTCCTTCTTCTTCTTTTATTTCTTTAGGGGCAGGGATACAGTTTGTGTGCCTTGGACCATCATGACACAGCAACAGCCAAATACCATACACAAATCATTCATAAATATCCCTATTAACACCAAATCTTGTGACATGCACCTGTTCTCTAGACTGTAGTCTATATGCCAGAGGAACCACTGCCACCAAAAGAAAAGCTCCTCTTTTAGTTACTTTCTTTCCCCCCCCCCACCGCTCTCAAGTGCTCATTCTAAGAGACTGACCATTATTTGATACAT